CGATGCACCGCTTCTCCGGCCATGCTGAGGCCGTGTCCCACATACAGCAACTAGAAGGATGTGCAGCTATGACATACAACTATCTACTGGGGCGTTGGGGGAAAAATAAATAAATAAAATCTTTAAAAAAAAAAAAAAGAAAATAATAGATGTTCCTTACAGAAAGCAAACAAGAGAGATAAATATTGCTCCCAACTCGAACACCCTTGAAACAGCGCCTGGGGTCTTGTGAAGCATGTCACCCCCGCATTGTATCCAAAACAGAAGTACACGGGGCCCACTTCCCTGGCATTGAGGCGAATCTTGACCATTTTTTTAACTAAAAATCATGGGGATGATGATCTTCACAGGCTGGTGGGAGGTCCCTGAGCTGAGATGTGCCAAGGAGCCTGCCCGGTGCCCCGCACAGCAAATGTCCAAGACACGGTGGCTGCAGCTTTCAGCTGAGACACGAGGCTCCGGGAGTGGGAGTGACCCCCGCCCGGCTCCTAAGCAAGGGCTCAGGGCACCCTGGAAATGCTGTGGGCTGGGGAGTCAGGCCTGGCTGGGCAAGAATCCCCATCTGTCCCTCTCCTGTGTGGCCCTGGCCTGGTCACTGCACCTCTCTGAGCCCGTTGTCTCATCTGTAAAGCTCGGCCCATCATGTCTGAGAATTATATGAGAATTTGTATCAAGTCCTTGGCACCGTTCTTAGCACACGGCAGGGGCTTAGTAAAGATGTGCTGAACCAGCAAATGTACAGTGCCGACTGTATCCTCGCACCACACCCCAGGGGCCTCTAACTTTGCCCTCGGGTTGGGTCACACTGGTCTCTGAGGGGCAGCTGCTAGTGGAGCCAGGATGGGTCTGCCTTCAAGGCAGGGAGAGGGGAGGAAGGTGGGGCAGGGCCTCAGGGACTGGCCTGGGGCGGCCACTCCCTCAGGAGAGCAGGGTAAGGGGAAGAAAGGCCTTCATACTTATTGAGCACCTGAAACCCAGCACAAAGAGGTTGAAAATCTTCCCTGGGCTAGAAGAACTTAGCCAAAACTTGGAGATAAGCTTCGCTAACTGCAGCTGTGCATATTCAGCATAATCAACTGTTGTGTAAAACTAACCAGGTCTTTCTGTCCCTCCTTAGCACAGGAGTGAGCTATCTTTCCCAGATGTCAGCCAAACGTAGGCTGAAGATGAAAACTAACCAGAAAAGTCCACAATCAAGGGAAAGAGATTCAGTGTTCAAGGCCAAACGCAGGCTGGTGGGAAGGTGCCAACCAGCACGGCCACACGCTCCCCCTCCCCTCCCTAAACCCCAGCACACGCTCCCCCTCCCCCACCTAAACCCCAGCACACGCTCCCCCTCCCCTACCTAAAACCCCAGCACATGCTCTCCTTCACAACCTTTAAAACCCCTTGTCTCCCATCTTTCGGGGATACAGGACAAATTTGAGAGCTCTCGTCTCCTGGCTGATGTCACCCGAAATAAAAACTCTTTCCTTGCCATAAGCCTGGCATTCCAGTTTTTATTTGGCCCCTCTTGTGTGGCAGGTAAAGAACCTGGGTATGTATCTGGTAACACACCTACTGTCTACAGGGTGCTTTCCAGATGGGCTCGTATGTCACCCTCACAGCACCCCCATGAGGCAGGTAGAATCAACCCCACTTACGGGGGGGAAACTAAGCTCCAGAGAGGGGCCGTGACTTGCTCCAGGTCACTGAGCAGGTGGGCTGAGGAGCCTGGTTTGAATCTGTGTCATCAGGCCAGGCAGTGAGATGCTTTGGCAGGTCTGAGGCCCTGTGAGCTAGGCTTGCCAGGTGCCTGAGTGAGGGACAGAATGAATGAATGAATGAATAAATGAATGAATGAGTGAGCCCACCTGATGCCATAGCTCATGACCAGCCCACCCCACCCCATCTCTCTGCCCTGGAGAGGGAGGCCAAAGATGAAAATAATGAGGATCTTCTCGTCCAATCCTCCAAACTAAAACCCAGAGGAGCTGCAGAAGGGCAGGGCCTGGCCTGAGGCAAACGTGGAGCGGGGAGGGCCTCTGTGCTACCCCCAACATCCCCACCTGACTGACCTGGGTCCTCAGCAGAGCCTGCCACCCAACAGAGCTGGCTCTAAGGGTGCCTCCTGGTGGTACCCCATGCAGACATCCCCCCATTTATCCTGAGCTCTCCAGGACAGGGACGTAACCCCCAGGCCCCACTGAGCCCCTGGAACTTTCAGGATCAACGGAGGCATCCAAGGGGAGAGGGCCGGCCAGACTTAGGGAACTTCACTGCTGGGCCAGGTTGCGGCCCCTGTGCCAGGAGGTCAGGCCTCTTTGGGGACCTCCCAGGTTGTTCCTGAATTCATGACGAGTTCAGGAGTAGCCCCTGCAGGTGGATCCCTGGCCAGGAAGGGGCCCCTCAGGATCCTGCAACACCCCTTCCACCTACTAGTACCTCCCCAGGTGGGCCTCTGATTTGCTGTGTGGCCTTAGACCAGTGGCTGCCCCTCTCTGGGCTTGGTTCCTGGCTGGGGGCTACCAGGCTCAGCCCCAGCCCAGCCCTGCCTGGCGCTGGCTCTGCCTCTGCCTCTGCCTCTGCCTGGCTCAGCTCCAGAGACCAAGGCAGGGCTGTCACATGCCGAGCCACGTGACAGGCAGCGGCTGGGGGCTCCATCCCACACAGAGGACGGGGCCTCTGCAGCCCCTTACCCCTGTCCCAACTGGCTGAAGCCTTCCAGGGGCTACCAGAGCAGGTGTGGGCTGGGAAACCTCTCCTGCCCTCCCAGGTAGGCAGGGGAGCGAGGAGGGCGGGGGCGGTGAAGAGCATCTCCTGGGTGCCGGGTCGGCCCAGAGGCCCCAGGCCAGCGTCCCAGGCTGACCCAGGGCACCGAGGCAGTGGGGCAGCGGCCGGCCCAGGGCGGCAGGCACGGGGCGATGGCACACAGGATGCTCCTGCCTCCACCCCCGTAATCTAATCTCCTGCTGTCTGACACCAGCCGCTGCTCAGGAATCATCCCCCTTTGTCCCGGCTCCGACAGGTGTGCCAGGTGGGGGCCGAGGTCAGGCAGAGGACAGGCCCCCTGGCACAGCTCAGGCACCTGAGGAGCGGGACCACAGGAACCACCACGGGGACACTTACCATCACAACAGCAGTCCTAGAGGGCAGAGGGCGGCACTCTTCCCCTGGAGGTTGAGGGGACATCTGGGGATGGACACAGCCCCTGCTCCGAGCAACAAGCCCTGTGTGGTCAAGTCTTGTCCCCTCTCTGGGCCTCCACTCCTACATTGTAAATCTCAGGTTGCAGGGCGACAGGCTCCGTGAGCGGGGTGCCGGATGGGGTGGTGCTGACGGACACAGACCCGCGCATCTTTGGATCTGACCTCTTCATTTTGTAGATGGGAAGCTCAGAGGGGCTGGGGTGGGGTGGCAGGCAGGGCTCTCCCTGCTATTCCAGCCCGCTGGGCCCCACCCCACACCATAATTCCCAGGGCCACTGCCCTGAGCTCTCCTCCTCCTCCAGCTGGAGCTGGGTCCTCACCCACCAGGCCCCGGGCTGGACCTCTCAGCTCAGAGCTCCCGGGAGACCTGCTGTGTGGCCCTGGCCCGGCGCTGGCCCTCTCTGGCCCTGGCTCCTTCTCTGTAGTCCAGGAGAGGACGTGGAGGGCCCTGAGGGAGGTGGTGGTGAAATCTTGGCCTGCAGCCTTCAGCTGGCCCAGAGCCGAGGTCAGGCACGAGGCCAGCGCAGCCCCGCCCCTGGGGCTGGCCCAGCCTCGGCCGTTTCACAAGGCAGAGCAGCTGGGCAGAGCATTACCAGCAGGAGGAAGGGCAGCTTGGCAGGACCTCAGGTACCATGTCCTGGGGAGCCTGGGGCTACAGCAGTGAGCTGTCAGGGCCCGGGACCCGGCTGGGGGGCTGGATCGGGGACTCCAGGCTGCTGGCCGCCCAGGCAGGCCCGGCCACGCACAGCCACATACACAGACTGGCTTTGTCCTCCGTCTGCCTGGGGAGAAAGGGGAAGGAGGAAGGACTTCCCTTTGATCCGAGCGGGAGACGGAGGGGCTGAGGAGAGGCCTGGGGGTCCCTGAGGCCAGCTGGCCAGCAGGCATCTCGTTTTGTCTGAGTTGTCCTCTCCCTGGGGTTACTGCACACCCTTTAAGGAAGCCAAGGGCCCCAGCTCTGGACCCGGCTACCCAAGGAGGGAATGCCCCCCATCCCTGGGGGGAGGGGTTCAAGCATCCACTTGGCAACATGTAGTTCCTGTGCCCCACCACGCTGGATGCGCTCGCTGGGTGCCCAGGAACGGATGCTGGGGAGGGGTGTGCAGCGAGTGTTCTTGGGAATGGACTCTGCCAGGGTCCAGGAAGGAGGGACTAGCCAGGCCTGCTCGTCCTCTTGGAGGGACTGATCAGAGGGACTTTGCGGGCCTCGGCGAGCCGGCAGCACAGCCTCTCCGTGGGCTGGGGCCGGGTTGGCTCAGCCCACAGGCAGGCGTTAGTCCCCAGCTCCCCACAGCCCCCATGGCAGGGAGGGGGCTGCTGCCCAGGGCTTCAGGAGACCTCATGCTAACCCAGGTTAAGGCTACACGAGGGGGATCAGATTGGAGACCCGAGGGTATCGGTATCAGGACCTGTGGGGCCTTCGAGGCCCTTCCCCACTGTGACCTCTGCCCTCTGGCAGCCTGATGAGGGCCCCGTGCCCTCGGACCTCCACGTTTACCTCTGTCACCTTTGCCAGCTCGGCATCCCTGCCCCACCTGGGGCTCAGGTTGATGCCCTTGCCTCCCTGGTGCCCACGCTGGGCCAAGGACTGCTCCCTGAAGCCCCCTTGGCACAGCTGTCCTTCAGTCTGTCTGAATAACAATCATGTAGAGCCACGGTCAATGGGCACTCAGAGGACTCTGCCCCGCACTGAGCGCTTTACACTTGAATTCTCCCAACAGCGCTGTGGGGTGCTTACAGATGGGGAAATGAGCCGCGGAGAAGCCAAGCAACCCGCCCAAGTCTCCTAGCTAACAAATGGCATCGCTGGGATTCGAACCCAGTCATTGGACCCCCAGCACGTCAGACTGGGAGGGTGCTCTTAGAAGGCCTGTGGTATAGGTGGGGAAACCGAGGCAGAAAGAATGAGAGACTGGGCAGAGGTTGGGGGGGAGAAGAGGAGGGGCCTGTACCACTGGGCAGCTCATCAGTAGGACTGGCTGGGGGTGCGGGGTGAGGGGCTCAGCAGGAGTGGATTCTCGATGATGCTTTACAGCCAGCAGACCTGAGTGCCAACCCCATCTGTCCGCCTCCTCGATCCTGTTGGGCCAGACCTTCGGGGGCAGCGTGCTGAAGCCCACACTGCACGCACATCCACACACATGCTGGCACGGCACCTGGCATGGTCGACGCCTGGTTGTTATTATTATTAGAGGAATCCCCAGGCACATGGCCCTCAGGGGACATGGCTGGTCCTCCCCAGGACCCCAGGACAAGGGAAACAGGCCTGTCCCTTGTCATCATCAAGTGATTTAGAACTCCCGCCCCACCCCACCCAGAACAGTGGGTCCAGCACAGATACGGCTGAGTGGGTGGTTGAGGCTGGGGCCGCCTCAGCCCACTGTGGGAGCCTGTGCCCCCAAAGACCCCTGCGCCCACCAGCCCCTGGGACCTCAGCAGCTCAGCCCGTGGAGGCAAGAAGGGGAAGCAATGGAATTGTCAGGAATAATGAGGAGGTGGGGGCTGAGGGAATGGGGTGGACAGCCTGCCTTCTCACCCTTGCTGGGCGCCCCCCAAATCCAGCCACACACCCCTGCCCGCCTGAGCCTGGGTCTGCAGTTCAGGCTGGCCCAGACACATCCCTTCTCCCGAGGACTCAGGCTGCCCCAAGCCCCGGGGGTCAGGCTGCCCTGCTCACAGGTGCAGGGTCCCCCAGATCCCAGGTGGAAGGCAGCCGTGGCTCCTCTGCAGGCCTGGGTTGGCCCAGCTCCCTGTCTCCCAACAGCACCCCTCGAGGCCTTGGTCCAGAGTGACCAACCTACGGGGGCAATATTGGGTGAGTTGGCCTCTGTTGCCAGGAGTGGCTGCTGGAATGTTCCATCCAGACCTCCACCCCCCGCAGAGCTCCCTCACCCCTCACCTTGCCCAGAGATGCACCATTCAAGTTCCCTGCCGTACATTTTTGTGGCTTCTGCAGAGACTGTTATGAAAGAGCAAAGAACCCTAGGGAGGCAGGAAGGGGTGAGTGCGGTTCACTCTCGGCATCCATGGGCAGAAGTCTGAAGTGAGGGTGGACAGAGAAAGGCCTGGGAGAGGGAGGAGGGCAAGAAACATTTGTTGATCACTTAGTAAAAATCACCATGGCTGACCTTTATTGAGCACTTGCTGTGTACACAACGGCAAACGCTTTAGGCGGCGTCCTGTCATTCAATCCTCGGGACCACAGCACGTGCTCTTATCGTCCCCGCCCTACAGACAAGGAAACAGGCAGAGAGAAGATGAGGGGCTTGCTCAAGGTCACGTGGCCAGGGAGAGGCAGAGCCAGGGGACAGGGCCAGATGGCGGCTCTAGAGGCCGGCAGGGCTCCCGGCTCCTGGGTCTCGCCAGCAGCCAGTGTGCCTTCCCTCAAGAAGGAGGGTCGGGGTGGGGCGAGCCTGGGGCGAGAGGGGCTCTGAGAATGTCCCCTTCTGCTACACTGCCACCCTATCTGGGGGCGTGGTGCATGCCCTGTGCCCGAGGTAACTGCCCCGTCTCTCCCGACCGGGGCAGGAGATCTGCGGGGTCAGGCTGGTCCCCAGTCACACCTAGGGGCCTAGGGCTCCAGCCAGGCTCTCGGCACAGTGCCCGTTGGGCCAGGCCATCCTGTGGCTGGAGCAGGCTCGGCCCTCAGGGCCATGGAGCCCCCCAGAAAACTGAGGGCTGTGGTGACAAAAGCCACCCAACAACAACAGCTGGCAGCCTTGGGCACCGATGCCCAGCCCTGGGCGCAGGACTGGATGGTGTGGCGTCCTCCTTGATAAACACTGTGTCAGCTGGTGGGTGCTGTCACTATCCCACTAACAGATGAGGACACTGGGGCACTGAGCTCCAAATGAGGAGTTAAATAGGCAAAGAGGGGCCTGCATCCCAGTCCAGTGGGAGGGAGGAGCGGGGGACAAGGGGGAGGGCAGGGAGGTGGACGGAATGAAGCCAGCTATTTATCACACCACGGTATGACCCAGTGTGGTGGGGAGCAGGGCCACGGGCCACCGTGAGAATGTGAGGGAGTAATCAGGGCAGGCTGCCTGCAGGAGGCATCAGCCAAGCTGAGACCTGAAGGGAAGGGAGTCAGAGAGGGCAGGAGGAAAGTGTCCCCACGGGTCCTTGGCACCAGATCCAGGAGTGTGTGCGTCAGAGAGCTCCTCTGGTGAGCTTCAAGTAAACAGGCGGGGTTGGGGGAATGTCGGGGCCCCCACCCCACCTGATGACAGCATGGAGCATGACTGCCCCTCATTCCTCGCCCCTGCTGTTCCCTGCTCCTCCAATACTGCGGCCAGAGCCGGGGTGGGTGGCAGGGCCCCAGGGAGGCCCGGCTTGTTCTTCCCCGTCTTGCTGGGGGGCTGGGGCACAAGGAGAGGAGGCCACTGCCCACAGTCACCCAGCCCCCTGCGCCGCCGCCAGCCAGCCTGGCCTCCTTGGGCAGAGCCCCAGGCTGGGGGCAGGGGGACAGAGCATTCTGTCTGGAATGTCCCAAAGCGGTGGCTGCAGTGGCGGTTGGTGGACCGTCCCAACTTATTTGTCTACTTATCAAACCCCTCCTGGTTACTCCCCTCAGGCCCGGCAGCGGGAAGTTTGCCCCGTCTCCAGGAGGGGCACCGGGGCGGGATGGGGGCCCTGGCTTGGGGCTACTTTCTGTGTGGCAGCAAGAAGCGTGGTCCCCCGGCTGCCTGCCCACCCTTAGGGGCCCGGGAGGAGCTGTCCCTGTGCCCACGCCCAGTCCTGCAGCGCCTCTAGGTCGAGGACCCTCCTCTTCGCTGGCCTAGGGGAGTGGTCTGTGGGTCTGTCCGTCTGTGTCTGAGTGTGCGTGTGTGTGTGTGTGTGTGTGTGTGTGTGTGTGTGTGTGTGTGTAGGCAGGGGCAGCCCCGGCCCCCTGGGGTTATGCATGAGTGTCTGGGGGGGTGACTGTGAGCCCACATGGGCACAGGCGGGGAGGGGGAACGCGCCTGTGAAGATGGGGAGCCCCAGCCCATGCTGCCCACCCCCTCCCGGCAGGATGGACCCCATCAGGGACACGCTGCAGCGGCTGCGGGAGACCTTCCGCGCGGGGCGGACGCAGCCGGCCGAGTTCCGGGCCGCCCAGCTGGAGGGCCTGGGCCGCTTCCTGCGGGACCACAAGCAGCTTCTGCAGGAGGCGCTGGCGCAGGACCTGCACAAGGTGGGCCAGGGAGGCGGGCAGGGGTGCGGTAGGCAGGGACAAGGAGATGGCCATGGCCGCCTCCTCCACGAAGGCAACTAAAAGCCCCACCTTCCCTGAGCCATCACCCGCTCTTCTGCATTCATCCAGTCACTCATTTCTTCATTCACTTGACAGCTAGTTATTGAGCACTGACTGTATGCCAGGTTCAGTTCTAGGCTCTGAGGATCCAACAGAGAATAAAACAAAGTCCCTGTGCCCAGGGAGGGGCCTTCTGGGGAGAGTACAATACGACAGTAAATAAATAATTACATAGCATGTTGGATGGTGAGAAGCGCCATGGAGAGACACTCCCAGTGTGAAGGGGGCCAGAGAGGGCCAGGATCAGGGTGCTGTTTTATATGTGGGGGTCACAGGAGGCTTCTCTGAGAAGGGGGCATTTGAGCAGAGACATGAAGGAGGAGGAGGAAGGAGCCACGTGGACATGGGGGAAATGGCAGCAGGCACAGCATGTGCAAAGGCCCTGGGGCAGGAGGTGCTTGGTGTGTTCGAGCTTGAGGAGCAGCAAGGAGGCTGGAGGGGAGTGGAGAGGCACAGAAACATAAAGGATGAGGTCCAGGGAGGCGGGCCTCACACCACATAGGGCCTCATAGGCCATGGAGGACTTCAGCTTCACTCGAGACGGTGGGCGTCACAGCCTCTGTCCAAACCCTGGAGGCCTGGGGGCTCAGCCCGTCCCAATTCCAGCAGCAGTCACGGCAGGACCCCAAGAAATGCACTTCCTTGTAAGCAGCCTCCCACCTCTTCAGCCAACAGGGCCCTCCTTGGCTGCCTCTGCCCCAGGACAGCTGTCCGGGGGTTCTTCTCTGGACAAAATGTCCCCTGTGCTGCGCTGAGCTCATGTTTGCCCCAAGGCCCGGGGGTGCATCCCAGGAGGGGCCTGGGGCCAGCTGAGCCCAGGGACGGGGCCCCACATTGACCCCTGGGGTGGTGCCCTTGCTGCCCTCCTCCCTCCCCCACCCTTCTGGTGGGCCTGCTGGCCCCACCCAGGTCCTGATAGTGACACCGGCACCGGCAGGGCCAGGCGGCCCTCCACAGCCTCCTTGGGACCCGCCCCATTTGCAGGCACCCAGCCGGTGTCCGCCCTGTTTCCGGAGCAGTCACAGACCTCGAGACTAGTGTCTCATGGCATCTGGGGCTGTGGGCCAGGGACACCCCCTTTCCACGGGGACAGCAAAGGCTGGCCGCAAGAACTTGTCCTGAGGACGTGGCTTCCTGGCGCCACCTGCTCCCTTTCTCAGTGTCCCCGAACCTTCTGTTTACCACGATGCTCCAGGTCCGTAGCCAGGGGAGACCTGCGCTCCCTCATCAGCCATTTCTGGAATCATCTCTTTTCCCATTTACAAAAGCGGGCCGCCGACCAGGCTCTCCTCAGCTCTCCTGCACCTGAGGGGCCAGCTCTGTCCCGCTGTGGACAGTGTCCCGCTCACTGGGCCTGGACCAGGACAGAGCGGGCTCCCTGGGGACTGGCACCCCCCTGGCCTCTGCCACCGCCCACCCGCTGGCCCAGCCCGTCTGCCTCCAGAGACCTGACCCACTGTCTCTCTGGTCCCTCTTCTCCCGTGGGCTCAGATTTCACCTCCCGCCTCTCATCCCGACTCCTCAAAGCTCCAGGAGCCCAGGCCGCACAGAGAGCAGCAGCCCAGAAAACCCAATCCGGTCCCTCCCTCTGGTCTCGCCAGCCCCGTCCCCCAGCCTCCCCGCACGCAGCATCTGCCCTGCCTGCCTGCCTGCGTGAATCCTCTCATTTAACCCCCAACAGCCCTTCCAGGTAGGGGCGGTCACGCCCAGTCACCCCAGAGGAGGCTCAGAGAGGGCACCTTCTTGTCTAAGGGCACACAGCCCTGGCTCTTCCAAAGTCACTGCGTTCAGTTGGGTCCAGACTGTCCCGTAAATCGGCCCAAACCTCACTCAGGTCACAGGCGACCTCCAGGTGCAGCGGTCAGGCCCAGGGCTCACTGGGCAGGAGCACGGCTATGGACAAGGCATGGGGAGGCATAGAAGCAGTGCTGGGTGTGGCTTCTTCCGCCAAGGTCCCAGTGCCCTCCCCTCAGGGCTCAGCTCTGGCCCTGGCCTTGCCACTGGCTTGCTGAGTGACCCTGGGCAGGTGTCCCCCTCTCTGGGCCTCAGTTCACCCTCGAACCATGCTGGCACCCCTCAGCCATCGCCCTCTCCTCTAGCAGGGGACAGCTTGTGCTCCAGTGGCCGAGTCTGAGGCATCGATCGGGACAGCCTGGCTCTGGCCTCCCTGGCCATGGGTCTCCAGCTGCCCACAGCCCAGGGGCTGGTCTCTCCTTCCTGGTGGGGGTGGCACAGGCAGCCGGGCCCGCAGAGATCAGGACAAAGTCCCTGTTGATGTTTGCCTCCTTCTCCCTCCTGCCCTGGAAATCTGACAATGATGCCTGGCCCCTGGGCTGTGGGAACCGATAGCATTTACTCAGGGACACCTGTCCCCTGTGTCCTCTGCAGATTGATATCCACACAGTGGGCCACAGTGGGCCAGACAGACACTCCTGTTAAAACTTAAGTTGGATCCTGTCCCTGCTCTATGCGATACTGCTCATCCGGCTGCCTGGCCCCATCACCTTGCCCACTCTGCTCCTTGCTAATTAGGAACATGGCAATCCTGCACCCACCTCACGGCCTTTGCACATGCCATGCCCACTGCCACCAGGTATCCACGGGCTCCCTCTCTCCCTTTCTTCACTGCTCAAATGTCACCTCACCCCAGACACCAGACCGTCTTGTATAAAACAGACGATCTTGTATAAAATAGAGCACACACACACACACACACACTCATGCACTCACACACATTCACTCCCTCCCTCATGCACGTTCATCCAAACACTTCTGCACTTGCACACACTCACGTGCATGCTCGCTCACACTTGTACACACACACTCCATCAGTCTCCATCCCCTTACCCTGTTCCATCTTTCCATTGCCCCTGTCACGTCCTAACATAGTCGTCAGTGTTCTCATTATCACGTTCACGGTCCCCCTACGGCGTCAGCTCCATGGGGCAGGTTTCCTTCTGTTCCGGTCGCTGTGGCATTCCTGGCTCGAGAATGGCACCTGTGTACTGTAAGCACTCAGCAAACAGGGAGAGCATGAATGAATGAACGGATGAGTAAATAAGAGCAGGCCGTGGCTGGAGGAGGCTGTGCCCTCCCGGGGCTCCGGCCGCCTGCTGACCCTGGTCCCCGGTCTGAGCCCTGCGCCCGCCCCTCTGCTGCAGTCGGCAGTTGAGTTGGAGGTGTCCGAGATCAGCATCGTCCAGACAGAGATTAACCTGGCCCTCCGGAACCTGCGGGCCTGGATGAGGGATGAGCAAGTGCGCAGGAACCTGGTGAGCGGGCGGGCGGGCTTCAGGGTGGGCGGCCTCTCTGACAGAGGGTGGCGCTGAGGGCCTGGGGGTCTCGGCGCCTCGCCGCTCACCACCACGCTGGCCCCCCCCAGGCCACGCAGCTGGACTCGGCCTTCATCCGGAAGGAGCCCTTTGGCCTGGTGCTCATCGTCGCCCCCTGGAACTACCCCGTGAACCTGACCCTGCTGCCCCTGGTGGGCGCCCTGGCTGCAGGTAAGAGCCTAGCCTCCTGCCCACCCGTCCCCTCCCTGGTGGCCTCTTGGCTGCCTACAGAGCCAGGGAGGATCAGGGAGCAGGTACCAGGTGCCTTAGAAGGCCTGGCTCCTATCTGGTCCACCATCTCCCGGCTGTGTGGCCTGGGGCCGGTTGCAGTACCTCTCTAAGCTAGATTCTCCCCCTGAAGATGGAGTGAGGCCGGTGCCTGCCCTGCAGGTGTGAGGACTGAAGGCAGACGGGGGTGGCTACGCCTCTCCCAGCTCTCCCTGCCCCGCCCTGCAGGGAACTGCGTGGTGCTGAAGCCCTCGGAGATCAGCAAGAGCACAGAGAAGGTCCTGGCTGAGGTGCTGCCCCGGTACCTGGACCAGGTGAGCGGGGCCGGGGGCAGATCAAACAGATACACTCGGGATTCCGGAGAGGTAGCCCGCGCGGCCTGGACAGGCCATGGCGTGGCCCCTCGGGCAAGATCCGCGTTCCAACCTCAATCCTGCCTCCTCTGGGTTGTGTGGCCATGGCCAGGTCACCGTCCCTCTCAGCCTCAGTATCTCTCTGAGTAAAACAGAGGGGTGGCAATCACACCTGGTTCCCGAGGGTCCCTTTCTGTCTCCTGGTCTGCCCTGCTCCCCCGGCCCCGGCCTCAGCCCTGCCCCAACCCCGCCAGGCCCCAACCTTACCCCTGCTGGGCTGGGACTGCCCGTACCCAGCCCCCCGGGGAGCTCTCCGCTCCCCACCTTGTCTCCGCCAGTCCCACGAAGAGCCATGGCCATTCTGGGTCAGGCCAGGCAAGGGTGGGTGGTGTCAGGCCGGCAGGCCGCCCTCTGGGCTCTCAGGCTGGGGTCCCAGCGGAGCCCTCGCCGTCCGCCTTCCAGAGCTGCTTTGCCACCGTGCTGGGCGGGCCCGGGGAGACGGGGCAGCTGCTGGAGCACAGGTTCGACTACATCTTCTTCACAGGTGAGGAGCCTGCCGCAGGGGGCGGGGTGTAGGGGTACGGGATGGGACCCCCGGAGGCCTGCGCCCAGCCCCGCCCTCAGGGGTCCTGGCCCCAGCCCCCAGAGAGGCCACAAAGGACCAAGGCAGACAGACAGCCGGGGAGGATGGAGACTGAAGGCAGTGCTGGGCGGTGCCCCCGGGCTCCAGAACGAGCCTGCTCCTCTCTCCGCAAGCAGGCTTGGGGAGCAGCCCTGGACCCCTCGGGAACCTCGACAGGGCTGGGTCCCATCCCCCGGGCATGGGCCCCTCTGCCACTCACAACTCATGAACCACAGCATCTGGCCTTACTGAGCTCAACTTCACTGCCCCACGACCTTATACATGACCCCCTGCCCCACGACCCCACACACGACCCCACACACGACCCCGCTGCCCCACGACCCCACACGCGACCCCGCTGCCCCCACGACCCCACACGCGACCCCGCTGCCCCCACGACCCCACACGCGACCCCGCTGCCCCCACGACCCCAAACGCGACCCCGCTGCCCCACGACCTCACACGTGACCCCGCTGCCCCCACGACCTTCTACACCACCCCAAACCCCTCTTCTGGTGGGCTGGACAGATGAGGAGTCTGAGGCTAGGATGACAGACATGCAGTGCCCAGCCCGGGTCACCTCACTGGCCAGGATCGGGACAGGCTGGACTTTACTCCCAGGCCCTTGGTCAGAATGGGTCTCAGAGGTCATCTGCCATCATCCCGGCAAATGCCCATGTGGCCCAGACACCACCTAGCTTCCAGTGACCAGGACAGAGCTCCTGGAGGAGATGAAAGGGTGCAGGTGGCCACCTTCTGGGGCCGGGGCCTAGAGGAGGGCAAAGGCAGAGAGGCCGACAGCAGCGTCTAAGCTGCTCACTGACCCGCGCCTGCTCGCACGCCTTGTCCTCGTCAGAGCAGGGGACGTGCCGTCTCTGCCTGTCTCCTCCCAGACCCTGCTGCGGGCCCAGGACAAGGCCTGCCTGCTACCACCTTGGCTGACTGGAGGGCGACTATGGGAGCAGAGGGGCCGGGGCCTCAGCTGTTCCTGTGGATTCCTAGGGGGTGGCAGGAGTGGGAGGAGGCAGCTGGGAGGGCACCAGCCCCCCCTCCACCGTCGGGCCCCATGGCTCGTTGGGCTCTGGGCCTTGGCTCCCCAGGGCCGAGGAGCAGAGGCCAGGCAGGCCGCAGGAGGCCGGCTTGTGGGCCAGGTGCCCGGGGTAGCCTGTGCAGATGCCAGCAGACCAGCCGGAACCTACTCTGCCTTGACCCCTTGACTTCTCCAGGCCTCAGTTTCTTCCTCTGTATGACAGGGGTAATCCCTAATCCCAGGCCTGTCTTGAAGACCAATGAACACATGGGAGCTTTTGTTAGAGCATGCGGCCTGGGGAGGCCTCCATGCACGCACTCATTCACCGAGAGCTTCCTGGGAGGGCAGCTGTGCCCGGCACCGTCCAGGCCTCGGGATAAGCAGGGACCAGGGGGACCAAGGCTCCTGCCCTCACGGAGCTCACATTATAACGGAGCCCGCTGGAAGGCGCTGGGGTGGTGGTGGGAGGTGATCGCTGGTCGGAAGGTGCTTGGCGGGATTCAACAAGGGGAGGGGGGTGGGGAAGGCTTCACAGACAAGGAGATGTTTGAGCAGAGACAAGAGGACCTGAAGGAGGACTCTCAGGTGCAAGGGATACCGGTGGGGCCTAGAGGGGAGGGAGCGAGGGCAGGGAAGCAGGAGGAGGCCAGAGCAGAGAAGTGGTGGGCTCTCTTGCGGACAGTGGTGGCCAGGGAGACAGGCCAGGGCCATCAAATCACCACACAGGACGCTGGGTCAGGTGTGGGCAGGAGCTTCTTGAGGTGAGGCTGCTGAGTGGAGGAGGGGATGGTGAGACCCAGGAGATCAACCCAGAGGAGAGGTGGGGACAGGCTGGGCCATCCACTTAGAACCGAGAGGAGGGAGGCGAGGGACGGGGCAGGGCTGCCAGGTTAGGTCAGAGAGAGGGGAGACCCAAATGTCAGCCAGCTGGGGCTAGACTCCGGCCTTGGGCAATAGGAGTCACTGAAGGTTCTAGAGGAGAGCAGAGAGGTGGGAGCAGTGCAAGGTGGCATGTTAGAAACGAGTCACCTGCAGGGGTGAGCCCGGGATCAGAAGCAGGGAGACCGGATAGCAGGCGGGGGGCTTCTGGATTTCTAACAAGGCAGGTCAGGAGACGGAGCAGGGGGCCTGGCTCGTACTGGGTGCAGAACTCTGCGTAGACCCTGCATGTGTGGGCTGGTCTGGGGGAAAGACAGGAGCAAGGTCCTGGGGCAGCAACTGACAAGGGAAGGCCAGGTGAGGGCTGCACCCACCCGATTCAATTGCCCGTCCAGGGAAGCACAGGGCAGGGAGTGACCCGCCCTTGAGGGGTCTTGGCTGAGGCCATCCCACCTGGTCCAAGTGACTGAGGGCCACTCGGGTTTCCTTCCACGCCCAGGGAGCCCTCGAGTCGGCAAGATCGTCATGGCCGCCGCCGCCAAGCACCTGACGCCCGTCACGCTGGAGCTGGGGGGCAAGAACCCCTGCTACGTGGACGACAACTGCGACCCCCAGACCGTGGCCAACCGCGTGGCCTTCTTCCGCTACTTCAACGCCGGCCAGACCTGCGTGGCCCCCGACTACGTCCTGTGCAGCCCCAAGATGCAGGAGCGGCTGCTGCCCGCCCTGCAGAGCGCCATCACCCGTTTCTACGGCGAGGACCCCCGGAGCTCCCCAGACCTGGGCCGCATCATCAACGAGAAGCATTTCCAGCGGCTCCAGGGCCTGCTGGGCTGTGGCCGCGTGGCCATCGGGGGCCAGAGCGACGAGAGCGATCGCTACATCGGTGAGTCGCGCTCTCCCCGCCACCCGGGCTAAGGCCCTTCCACGCTGGAGGCCACCGCTGGGCCCCGAGTCTGGGCCCGGCTGAAACCTCGGCCCTGAGGCTCCCACGGCCCCACCGCCAGAGCCCTGCCTGGTCCACGGCTCCGGTGCCACGATCCCGTGACACTAGCGCTCCACGTCGCCGTGGTCTGCCCCTGTGACCCCACAACTCCACACTCTGGCCCCAGCTCTGGACTCTCTAAGCTGGGACCCCAGTGTTCTACCCCGAGTGCTCAGATTCCAGACTTCCGTCCCACGATCCGCTGCTCCACTGGGCCATGACCCCAGGTCCTGTGAGCCCACGACTCCCGGGTTCTGAACTCCAGCGGCCCGTCCTGAGCATCGCTCTGCTGTAATTACAAAGCGGCCCGTGTCCTGGGCCACACGGCTCAGCGGGTGACACTGCTGCTCTAACAGGCTGGGACCTGGGAGCTCGGACTCCAGGGCTCTAAGATCCTGTCACCCCCTGACTGTCAGACAAAGGCTGGGGGGTTCTCCGGGCCCCGCAGGCCGTGGTCCCCTGGTCAGGTTGGGGAACCCGACGGTCACCTCTCAGGGGCTGTGGGCAGACTCTGTCCCCTAGAAATCCCCGAGCTGGAGCCCTGGGTCCCCACCCCGGGGCTGAGCCGTCCCCTGTGCCCGCAGCCCCCACGGTGCTGGTGGACGTGCAGGAGACGGAGCCAGTGATGCAGGAGGAGATCTTCGGGCCCATCCTGCCCATCGTGAACGTGAGGAGCCTGGACGAGGCCATCGACTTCATCAAGCGTCGGGAGAAGCCCCTGGCCCTGTATGCCTTCTCCAACAGCAACCAGGTGGGGGCTGGACAGAGGTGGGGGCAGGTGACAGCAGTGGACGGTGGAGTGGTGGCAACAGAGCTGGGAGGTGGTTCCAGGACCAGAGTGGCCCAAGGGGCCTGGCGGGAGGATAGAGGTCCTGGCCCCTCTGGGTCAGTCACGGCAGTTCTGGGATGGTGGCAGTCTTGGCTATGTCCTTGTCCTTTCTGGGAGCAGCTGGGCCTCCTCTCCCCCTCCAATCTAGGCCACACTCTCCCAGGCCATCGGTGGGCAGCTCCCTGGGTCTTCTCCAGGGTCCAGTGTCCTCTCTTGGTCAGCCCCTGCTGCTGTTCATCCTCATGGTCTCGGCTTGGTGGCCCAGTGTCCCCTTTCAGTGCCTGGCTCATGGAAGGCACACACAATGACCAGGGTAGGCTGAATGACCAGAATGCGCTGGCCGAGAATGAGCCCTGGGCCCCCACCCTGCTCAAGCCCCTGGGGGCGGCCTGGGAGTCTCAGGGACTCGTGGGTGGGGTCAGTTCAGGACACACCGCCCCTCTCATCCAGCTCTTGTGAGATCTTTCTCAGACTGGACAATTTTTTTTAAAGAAAGTTTTTATTCTGGAATAATTTCAGATTTACAGAAAAGCTGCAGACAGTCCAGGGAGTTCCCACATCCCCGCCCCGTTTCCCCATTTAAGGCCCCTTATGTTGGATGGTGACATTAGTACATTCCTGTCGACTACACTCCAGAGTTGATTCGCATTCGCCAGTGGGATCCAAGCCAGGGTCCCATGTCGCATTTAGCTGTCATGGCTCCTTTGGCCGGTGATGGCCTCTCAGTTTGAAAAGTAACGGCCAGGTGTCCTGCAGAATGATCTCCGTCTCAGTGGTCTGTTGTTTTCTCATGAAAGAATCTCACAGAGACGGGGCCAGTGTCTGCCCATCATATCAGGGGGACACAAGAGCCACACGTCACTGGGAGGTGAACCTCACTCCTTACGTGCCCTCACTCCTCCCGAAGCACTGATGCTTTCTGTTCTGTCTTCTGTCATTGTTGCTGCTGGTCTCAGGGTGATTTCCGAGGCACGGACGGGGGTCCACTCCACCCACCATCGGCTAAGCCCTGACCCACGTTACCTGAGGGCCACACGTTGTAACTAAATTAGTGAAGTTTCCGTGCAACGGCTCCTTAGCGTCTACTAATCTTTTTTCCCTCTAGTTCTGCAAATAAACCTATAGATTGGAGAGGAAGGGCCTTTGTTAAGTCAAGCCAGGTCCAAGCTCGTGTTTCTAAGACACAACTCTGACCACATCACTGCGTCTAAATGTCCCCCCTGCGCTGCACACCACACAGGCCACCCGCCACGTCCCTGCCCCTCGGGCTCCCTACCTGCCCTTCACCTGCCTGGGGGGCCCTCTTTCTTGTCTCTGCCAGCACGACTCCTGTCCCCGCTGGAGACTCAGCAGGCACATCACCTCCCTCCCCTGGGACGCCTCCCTGACGACCCGGCACCTCACCCTGCACTCTCCTTGTCCCCAGGCGACCGCTGGCTTTCCCGCCTCACCCTCGGGCCTGCGTCTGTGTCTCCAGCACGCTGCAAGGGCCACTCGCAAGCCCATGCTCAGGAAACATGCCGCAAGCCGGGGGCTCGGGGGCAGGCTGCCACACCTCCACGCCTGTCCCGCCACCCCTCAGCTCGCCGGTGGCCTCAGACCCTGGAACGGGCCCCGGAGCAGCTGGCTGGCTTCCTGCTTCTCTCCTAGGTGGTCGAGCAGGTGTTGGCCCGGACCAGCAGCGGGGGCTTCTGCGGGAACGACGGCTTCATGCACATGACCCTCCCCAGCCTGCCCTTCGGAGGAGTGGGTAGGTGCCAGCACAGCCCCACACCTCCACCCTGCTCCCCTCCAGTCTGGAGCGGAACCTTCCAGACCTGTCTCTGCATTCACATACATAGGAGGACCCACAGATACACAGTTCAGGTTGTTTTTAAACACCACTGCGATCCCTGTCTGCTGTCCCCCACAGCTTTTCTCCCAACAGCAGGGCTTCCAGGCCGCCCATCAGCACGTGGGTCCTCTTTATTCCATGGAGAGGCTACACGCTGCTCCTGTAACCCCACTCCTGTCCCCTCAGTCCAACCCTCAGTGTCACCCCTCAGGAGACGGGAGCTGTTGCCCGTTCCCCACCCCCAGCCCCAGCAGCCCCCGTTACAGCTGCAAAGTCCTGGCCTCCGGGCAGGAAACCTCAGGGCTTGTCCCAGCCCAACGGCTGTGTGATCTGGGGTCCCCGCTTCCCCTCTCTGAGCCCACTTCCTCCTCAGTGGAATGGGAGGGCCAAAGACTTGAGGTCTCTCACCTGCCCACGCTCAGCACCAGAGTAAATGACCAGCAGGGCCTGCATCCTCCCTGGAGAGCAGCCGGTGCCCCAGGAGCACATGGCAGGCTGAGCTGACACCACGGCAGTGCAGGCCCCCAGGGCTGGCACCACTGCTGTCCCTGGCTCTGGGACGCCCTGCCCCCAGCCCGCCGGGCTGCCCCATCTCCAGTGCTAGCAACTCTTCCTCAGGGAGCGTGGGGTCTGTCTGGAAGCCAGCCTGATCCTGCTACGCCCCTGATGGAAACCTCCCCGGCTCCTAGGCCCCTCGGGATCAAGCCAGGCCCCTAACTCACAGCTTCCTGAGGCCAGCCCTTCCCGGGCTGGCTGTGGGGCCCGGCTCTGGCCTCTCTCCCCACTTCCCTGCCTGCTGCCCCAGCCACTCTGAGCTCTGCCCAGGTCCTAATATGCCACAGGTCCCCCACCTCCAGGGCTCTGTGAGTTGTCCCTAAGCCTGGGTGCCTCCTGCCCCCACCCACCCTCTTCATCTGGTCCACATCCCTCAGGCCTCGCTCACTCCAGGAAGCCCTCCCTGATTACCCCCAACTCCGCCAGGCTGGATCCCCCGGACTTCCCAGTGCAGAAGCTGCCTGGTCCTTGACCCCCTCCCTCCTAGACGCTGAGGACTCAACAACACAGCGCTTACTGTGTCCACGGGTCTGAACACTCGCCCAGTCCCCACGACTCTAGGAGGTGGGTGCCATTGTCACCCCAGGTCACAGAGGAGACCAAGGCAAAGTCACTTGCCCAAGGTGACCCCAGAGCTGGGACCAAACCCGGACAGTCACTCTGGAATCCACTGCTGTCTACCTACCTTGCCCTAAGGCCTGGCATGGCCCCTCATGTCCGCAACGTTTACTGAGCTGGTGCCAGGCTCAGGGCGAAGCCTTAACCCACAGTCGCTCATGATTAGCCCACTTTACAGATGGGGAGACCGAGGCTTGGAGGGGTGAAGTAGCCCACCCAGACCTGGCAGGGCCCAGGTCTGTCTGATGTCGCCTCGGCCGGCCACGGGGGGGCCTGACTGCGGTGTTCCGTGCCACTGTACAGGTGCCAGCGGGATGGGCAGCTACCACGGCAAGTTCTCCTTCGACACCTTCTCCCACCACCGCGCCTGCCTGCTGCGCAGACCCGGGCTGGAGAAGATTTGCTCCATCCGCTACCCGCCCTATTCGCCGCGCAACCTGAGGCTGCTGCTACTGGCCATGGAGACCCGCAGCTGCAGCTGCACCCTGCTGTGAGCCCACCCGGGGCGCCGGGCGCGGGGCAGCCCTCCCGGCTCACGTCTGTGGGTCCTCTGCCGCCGCAGCCGCTCGTGGCCAGTGGAGACGTGGCCTGGAGCCCAGGGCACAAGAAGAAAGATCTGCCAAGGCCACAGCCCAGACCGGTGCCCGCCCTCCTCCCTCCTGGGGCTTCCCGCTTCTGGCCCTCAGCCTCCTCCCTCGGCGGCCCCTCCACGAGGATGGGAAACTGCAGTCACCTGCCCTCCCACCACCGCGCTGGCCCCCGTATCACGAGAGGCAGGCACAGGTGAGCACCTCTGAGCCACCCCCTTCCTGTGGAGGGTGCAGCAGAAGGTGCCCTGGCATCTGGTCGGGCCACAGTGAGGGTTAAACTTAGGAGCTTAATAAATGCAAGCCGCTGACCCCAGGCTCCAAGCATCCTGTCCTCACTTGGGTGGGGTGAGGCAGCCTCCCTCTTCCCTCTCTCTGCCTCCAGGCCAGGCTGACAGACCTCCGCAGCAGGACGCCCCGGCCCTCCCTCGTGCGCATCTCAGGAGCTCTGAACACACCTGGCCCCCCCGTGGCCGGCCCTGGGCACCTTCCCCTCACCATGTCCCACCTGGACTCATCCTCTTCCCTGTCCTGCTCATCCTCCTGGGCCCCGACACCATGGGGTGGTCCCCCATCCACTCAGCCGCCAGCCAAACCCCCCGGGGCCTCCCCCAATCCACTCACTAATCACCCCGCCCAGGGCCATCCATCGCCCACCCTCTCCCCCAGGCCCTGCCCTTCTCAGCACACCCACTGGTCTTCCCAAGGCTCATGGGACCAGGCCAGCCCTTGGCCGGAACCCCGTCAGTGGCTCCCTGTGGCCCACAAGTCTGACCCTTAACCGTCCTTGGGAGGCCCCTCGGCCTGTCCTTGTCCTCTCCCAACACACGTGACATGTCCCCGTCGGGAGGACCTCGGCACACGCGCTGGCATCCTCTCTCTGCCCTTCCTGGCCTGCCCAACTCCTACTCCCCTCCTCCAGGAAGCCTTCCCTGACTACCTCCCACTCCCCTAGACAGGCAGGCAGCCCCCAGGGACCCTCTGCCACACAATTCACAGGTTTGGTGGCTGTTGAGGGACGGGGCTCCCGAGTCATACAGATCCGGCTGCGGGGCAGGTGGCCGCACTTCACAGCTCTGTGGCTTGCGCAAAGCCACTAAACAAGCCCGTGCCTCCGTTTCCCTATCCGTAAAGAGAGAATAACAATCGTTCCTCCACACACGATTGCTGTGAGGACTAAACGAAGCTGGCTGAGTGCAGGCTTAGCACGGAGCAGGCACGGCTCCCGCGCGGAAACACCGCCGGCCGCGACTCGCGTCACCGCTATCACACACACCCCGCTTAGGCACAGCAGGTCGCCTCTAGCCCAGGGCGCCTGCTCCGACCCCGAGCAGCTTCCTAAACCACGCCCCGGATGTCCCGCCTCCTGTGGCTCGGGAGTCCTCGCTTATTGGCCTCTCCAATCCAACATGGCGGCGCTCAACACAACCTCAAGCGTCCGCTCGCCCTAGCCAATCAGAGGAAAGCTATTTCTGGATCCCGCCTCTTTCGGCAGCGCACTGGCCAATCAGACCACAGTATGAAGGATCAGCGCGGAAAAGGCGAAGCCGGCCAGGCCAATGGCAGCGACCCAGAATGTAGGCTCCGCCTCTCTGCGGACAGGCCGGTCGGCACGGGAAAGAGCGGCAGCGCTTCAAGGTGGGTGTTCAGGGCTCGGCTGTTAAGGCCGAGCCTGGGGGGCGCGGCGTCGGGGGCGAGTGTAGTGTCCCCCTTGGCCCCGCCGGTTCTGCGCCCGGGCTTCATCTCGGCCCGCTCACAACGCGCGACCCCTCTGTCCTTGAGCGTGCAGCGAGCGGACCGGGAAGATGGCATCTTCGGGGCGCATGCGCCGGCTGCGTCCGCGGGGTCAGAGGTCATGGGGAAGGTCGAGGAAGGTGCCGGGCTGGGCCACTGGCGCTGAAGTCAGTGGTCAAAAGAAATGGGCCCGCTAGAGGTCACAGGTCACGGGGCGGGGCACTTTTGAGCTCCAGCTAAGCGCCAGTCTCCGGGCTAAACCCTTGGCACGTATGAAGTCCATTCTCATGACCCCCATTTCACGGATGAGGAAGGCTCTGTGACCTCACCTGCCCAAGCTGACTGGGCAGGCAGGGAGATGGTTCCAGAAGGGCCTTGATGCTGGGGAAGGAATGTGATCTTGAGGATTTCCAGCAGGGAAGGGCTGGGAAGGTAAAGGGAGGGCCCTGGCCTGGGTTCACGTCTGTTCCCACCCCCTAGTGTGTGACTTTGGGCAAGTCACTTAACAGGACTGAGCTGTGTCTCCTCTGTGCCTCCCTCGTGGGGGCCTCATAAGGACACAGTGACAGTGTGTGTGATGCCTAGCAAAGTGCTGGGCACAGTGGACTTTCCATAAATGCGGGTGGCCGCTAGCCGTGTTGTTTGGATCAGATTTGGGGAGGATGAATGGGGGAGGGGAGAGATGGGAGGCGGGAGCACTGATGGGGAAAGGAAGGAGGATGGAGTCTAAAGATTTTTTAGAAGGTGAGATAGATAGGACTTGGGGTCACAGGTAGCTGAGCTGGGTCAGGTTGGAGGGCTGGGGGGTGCTGTGCCTGGGGACAGGGAGGCCGTCTGTGCCTCTGAGAGGAATGGGGGTGAGGAGGGCACAAGATGACGCAGTGGCACCTGCAGTGCCAGAGTTCCTGGGAGGACGGGTCTGGGACCCACCCATGCCGTCCTCCCTCTCCATGTCTGCAGATGCACTGCCTGACCACACCCACGCTGTTCCGGGCCCTGGCCCAAGCCGCACGTGCAGGTAGGCCCGAGGGAGCCTTTCCTGGGCGCAGGGGAGCCCAGTTTCCCAGCAGAGGTTGCAGCTGCACAGTGTAAGCCATCTCCTTGCAGGGCATCCTAGTGGCCGGAACCTCCACAGCAGCGCAGTGGCAGCCACCTACAGTGAGTCCCGGGGCGCGTGGAGCCTCAGGCTTTCCTGATCATGGTCCCACCAGAGGCGGAGGCGGAGGCCTGGATTCTAGTCCTGGCTTTGCTGGGGGCGCCCCCTCTCTGAGCCTCAGTTTCCACTCTGTGAAACAATGGTGATCAAGATTGAATATGAGTCATGGGGGCAGAGTCCATCATTGCAGGGGCGGGGGCCTTCCCTGTGGCTCCACGGTGTATCTCAGAGCTCCCCCGTGTGGGACGGGGAGGGAGCTGCTGTCCCTCTTCACCTGGACCCCAGCGCCCAAGCCCCTTCCCTCCCACCTCGACTCCTGGGCTCAGACTGCCCAGGGCCAGAGGCCGGCCTTGCGGGGCAGGGCGCTGGCTGAGACCGGGAAGGTTTGGAGAGTGAGCATGCCTCCCGGGGGCGCAGCCGTTGCACCTGGAAGGAGGGCCGGGCCCCGTGTCTCTGAGCTGGATTCCTTGGGGAGGGGCTGCTTGAGCCCCCTGCCACCGCCTCTCTGCCCGCCTCCCCTGCAGAGTACGTGAACATGCGGGAGCCCACGATGGACATGAAGTCGGTGACCGACCGGGCGGCTCAGACCCTGCTGTGGACCGAGCTCATCCGAGGTGGGCCCTGGGGAGAGGGGGGAGGCGGGCTGGGGTGGGCGCAGATGTGTCGGGGGGAGGAGCCCACGCAGCAGGCCCGTGCCGCCCACAGGCCTGGGCATGACGCTGAGCTACCTGTTCCGGGAGCCGGCCACCATCAACTACCCGTTTGAGAAGGGCCCGCTGAGCCCGCGCTTCCGCGGGGAGCACGCGCTGCGCCGCTACCCGTCGGGCGAGGAGCGCTGCATCGCCTGCAAGCTGTGCGAGGCCATCTGCCCCGCCCAGGTGAGCCCTGCCCCAGCCCTGGGCCTGGAGCCGGGTCCCCTGCGGGGTGTGTGTCCCCGGGAAAGTCCCTTTCCCTCTCTGAGCCACTTCTCTCTTGTGCTTGGGAACCATGAGGCCACGCTGCCGGGCTGTCTTGGCGTCAGTGAGTCAGCGGGGTGAAGCGTCCGGGCCTGAGCTGGCCACGTGACACGTCTGGGTCCTGCCCTTGGGGTCTGGTCAGGGTCGTGACCCTGAGGGTCTCTGCTGTTCCTTGGACACAGCAAGTTCAGGAGCCCCGCCTGTGTGCCCGTGACCGGGCCAGACCCGGGGACACACGGCCGCGGCGAGGCCCTTGCCGCCCCTGGTTGCTGCTCTTTGAGCCTGCAGCGTTTGGTTCTGTTGGAGGGTCCCAGGAGGGCTGCCTGGGGTCAGGGAGTTAGTGTAGGGACAGAAGGACACGACTGTAGCTCTCTTCCAGACCCGTGGGCACACCAGCAGGCACCGTGTTTACTCACTGTCCACACAATGACCCCCTCCCAGCAGCTGCTCCAGGCCACGTCTCCGTGACTCAGGACGGCTCCTGTCCAAGTCCTAGCTCGTCTCTTGGACCCCTCCCGGGTCCTCTAGGCCGTGGGCTGTGGCCTTGATATGTCCAGTGCAGCCACCGACCTGGAGAACACAGGAGAGCCCGAAACAACAGCACAGATGACAGTCATGGCTTCCAGGTGCGAGGGCTGTCCCCGGACCAGGACTTATGTTATCTTGTGCCAAGCTCAGGACTTACATTATCTCATTTAGTCTTTACAGTAACTCTAGGAGGTAGATTATTGTCCCCATTTCTATAGGCACAATATTATGTATTTTAAGAGGCAGAAAGCAATGAGACTACCAGCCAAAGGTCCCACTGTGAGTGGTGGGCATTACACTCCTGGGGACATGTGAGGGCCTTTGCCATGCCCCTTAGAAGCTCACTTGTGGGAGGCCCCAGGCCACCCCTTCACCCAGCTGGCACATGGCACTTAGAGTGAAGGACCTGCCTTCCAGTCTGGGCTCTGCCCCTCGCTTGCTGTGTGGCTTTGGGAAGCCCCTCAGCCTCTCTGAGCCTCAGTCTTCTCACCCGTTAAATGAGGATAACCAGACATAACTGGGAGGGTTGTTCATCCCACAACCAACAGTGACTGAGCCTTTTTTCCTGGGTGAGACCCTGGGGGCTCCGGGGGCTGTAGTGAGCAGAGCAGGCAGCAGCCCTCCCTTCATGGGACTTACGTTCTCGGGCAGGAGGTCCCAGCAGTTAATAAATAAGAAAAACGTCAGCTAGGGCAAGCGCTAAGTAGAAGCTGACGTGACAGACATACGGGTGGCCTGCTGGGAGAGGAGTCAGGAACGACGTGTCCGGGCTGGGAGTGGATGATGGAGGGTCCACCCTGTAGGCCCCCGGTGCCTGAGCCCCCAGGAGGGGCAGGTGCGGGCAGATGCAGGGGTGAGAATGAACGGTGCGGGGGCCCCCTGTGCCCCGGGGCCGGGCCTGGCTGGCAGGTTGCAGTACCCCGAGCCGCTCCCCCAGGCCATCACCATCGAGGCCGAGCCGAGGGCGGACGGCAGCCGCCGGACCACGCGCTACGACATCGACATGACCAAGTGCATCTACTGCGGCTTCTGCCAGGAGGCCTGCCCTGTGGACGCCATCGTCGAGGTGAGTGGGGCCCGGGTGCGGGCCCGGGGCCGAGGCTCCTTGGAGGGGCCTGACGAGGCTGTGCCTGCACCCCTGTCCCCCGCAGGGCCCCAACTTCGAGTTCTCCACGGAGACGCACGAGGAGCTGCTGTACAACAAGGAGAAGCTGCTCAACAACGGGGACAAGTGGGAGGCCGAGATCACCGCCAACATCCAGGCCGACTACCTCTACCGGTGACGCCCCGCCCGCAGCGCGCAGCCCCGCTGCCCAATAAAAAGTTCTGATCTCCCCCGCCGCCTCTGTCATGATTCTCCTGGCCAGGCCGGGACTGCCGCAGCCTCCCGGCGGCCTGTGGATTCCTCCACTGGCCCAGGTCCCTCGGCGTGACCTGGCCTGGCCTTCCTGTGGGACTCTGGGACCTGTCAGGCCCTCCGCGTGCTGGGCCCCAGCCCACAGCAGCCCTGTTGCCCACACGTCTTCCTGGGCATGTTCCTTGAGGCTCAGCAGGCCGAGGGCAGCTCAGGTCTGCTGTTCCCATAATCCTGGGTGTCGGAGGGGTGGGCCTGGGCCTGGGCCTGCCCTCTCCTGAGGACCACCCACAACTAAGACCCTAAGGACGTGGAGCCTTGCAGGGCCTCAGGTAGAAGGACATCACATGGCAGAAACTCAGGCCACAGCAGCCTTGTTGGGGGGCAGGGGAGGCCTGCTCTGGGGTGGCTGTCACGAGGGGTGACACAGGCCCTGCTGCTCCTCAGCTGGCCTTGCCTCACCTCCAGCCACATCCGTTTTCCTCCCCAAGTTCCCCAGACCAGGCTGCTGGCTTGGCTTCTGCTGCTCAGGACTTCCTGCTTTGCAATCTCAGCAAAGTAGTGTGGTTCCCTCTGGAGTCACACACACGCCCAGTGATGGTGGAAATGGCCAAAAACAGCCCCCTTGAACTTGGCACTGGGAGAGGATTTCAGTACATGCTCAGCAGTGGGGAAACTGACTCAAGAGAGGTGAAGTGACTTGCCCAGGATCACACAGCATACAGCCAATGAAAAAACTAACTCAGGTCAGAGCTCTCGGGCCTTTGCCATCATTTCCAAAAGTACTTTTTACAAAACACTAATTTCCCCAGATGCTTCTTAGAAAGAAGAGGGGGAGGGTGTTCTCCGGACCAGTAAGTGTGGGAAATGCCCCAAGAGCCCTCTCCCCTCTGGGCCAGGCACTGCATGTTAGCACATTCAAGGCTCTGAGAAGGCCTGCAGCTGAGAAACCCAGCCTTTCCCCAGCTGGTTCCTAGGGAACCTCTTATCACTGCTGACATCTGGGCCAGGCTGGGCCATCTGATGCAGAAATGGCCCGGGACTTGCTGGGGCCAAGGCTTTGGGGCCCCCACAGTCTGAGGAGCAGGGTACAGAGGTGAGAAGTGACTGCAGGACCCAAAGGGAAGCCCAGAGCCCAGGCCATGTCTGCGTGGCCAGCCTCTGCTAGTACTGGTGGCTGCGGACGCGGGAGCTCTGTAACAACAAGGCAGTCCCAAGAGGCAGGCCTGAAAATCCTAACTCCCGTCTGATTTCGCTTTTCCCGGACGTAACCAGCATGGGTGATTCGCACGGAGCCTGTATTTGTGCAGCGATAAATAGAATACTTGCATTAAAATGGGTCAGACCACACACAGCTCCTGCCTCGATTCCCTTACTGACACGACGGAGGCATTTCCATGTCAAGACTGCAGCTCCAACAGCATTTCGTAACACGACAGTTCCGTTTCCTCTGCACCTGGCAGTGTTGACCCGAGGCCTCCGCTGGTGCTCAGTCTGGATCTGTTGAGGGTCTCCCTTGGAAAGAGCCCTCCGGTGCCCAAAACGTGTCCCCCACTTTTCTGAGGACACTGATGCTGGCTGTGACTCAGTTTCCAGCCCCCGCTCTGGGGCTCCATTTGCCTACCCCTCCCCCACCCTTCAGAGGCCCTTGCAGTGTGGGGTTCAAGGGTCACCAGAGCTGAGGTCCCCTCGTCCCTCTGGTCCCCAGTGGGAACGGTCCTGGCCTGTCCGAAGTGCAGGTAGCTGGACAGTGGTGAGCCCCAGTTCAGGGGTGCTGGGACAGGGTGACTGGCATGGAGCAAGGTCACCAGACACCCTCAGCCGCAGGTGGACCACAGCACCTGCTGGGTGCGGGGCCCTGAGCGGAGCAACACGACCACGGCTTGGCCCTCAATGTCCTGCTGCCATTGAGGAAAGAGACCCAGAGAGGGGCAGCCACCCACCCAAGGGCACAGGGCACTGGGCCTGGAGTCCAGGCCCCTGTGCTTGATGGTCACGGACCGGAAGGCGTAAAGACCCGCTGTAACCGCGGCCTCACGCAAGGGGGTCCCAGGGCGGGGGGAGCGTGACGGCGACGCGCGGATCTTGAGCCCCCGATCCGAGTGCGTTGGGGTCCCACCAGCCGTAGGCCCAGCGAGCCCTGTAGGTGGTGGGGGTCCCGGCCCCAAGCCTGGAGCTGGGCCTGGGCTCGGCGCCTCCCCCCATTCCGGCCGCGTAGACGTGCGCTGGTGGCGCTGCTCCGCTTCCGTCTCCGGGCCTCCTCGCCCCACGGCCCCGAATGGGCTTCCAGCCTCGGGCCAGGAGGCCAGGCCGGCGCCGGGTGGCGGCCTCGCTCGGGCGGCTCCCGGGACCCGGCCGGGCGAGGGGAATCCCAGCGAGGGGCGGGGCTTCCCGGGCCCCGCCCCCCGGGGAAGTGAGTTGCGTGGGCGCCGCGGCCCGGAGCGCAGAGCACTGACCGCGGAGCGGAGCACCGGCGCGTGCGGCGGCCCCCGGGGTGAGTGCCCCCGCCCGGGTCTGCGAGCCCCCTGCTCTGGCCGCCACCCCCGCTTCCCCCCGCCTCGGGAAGGGGGTCCTGGAGTCCCCTCCCAACGGCGTCAGTGGACGCCCCTCAGTCCGCCGGCCCGCGGTGTCAGGCTTTGTCGGGGGCCACAGAGGCGACCCGGAGGAGGAGGAGGAAGAGGAGAATGGGTGTTAACAGCCGGCTAACAAAGCCTGCCTCTGTTGGGCCTGGTGGAGCTCCGAGCTTTCTCTGCTGCATCCTCCTTGGAGGCAGGGACCCATTCTACAGATGAGGAAACTGAGGCCCACCCAACTAGGAAGAGCTAGAGGCCAGCGGGGTCATTCCGACTCCAGAGCCCACCAGTCTGGAATGGGGGTGGGGGTAGACCCTCTCCTCCAGTCCAGCTCATTGCCGTGGGCCACGGGCAAAAGGGGAGGTCTGGTTGGTTCCTGGAGGAGTCTCCATTTCCAGCCTCCAGGGGGACCAGGAAGAGAGGGGCACAGAGTGAGGAGGGGCTGGAGTCAGGACCCTGAAAGCCACAGGACCGAGCACCTTCATTTGCTCTGCAGACCTGACTGGGGTGGCCCCTGGCTTGGACAGGGGCCAGGGAAGATGAGGGGTAGGGGGTGAGGCAGTGGGGGCCTCAAATGCCAGGGGAGGGGTCTGACCAGGTCCCTACACACCTGTGCTCCCCACAGCTCAGCCCACCCAAGGGACATGCCCAGGCCAGGGCCCTGTGAGTCAGGGACCAGGCTGACTTTGCCGCAGCTGCTGCTGTACCCCCTGGACCCTCAGACCTGGCTCCCTACAACCCCCAATTTGGCCAGCCCAGCCTTCGGGGTGCCCAGGGCAGAGAACAGCCCTCCCCTGAGCACATATTGTGTGCTGGGACTTCCAAACCTGCAGCCCCAGGGTGTGGCTCCTGCCCGGCTTGGCCACCTACTGACCCTCTGATCTTGGACCTCATCTCTCCAGGTCTCAGTTTACCCGTCTGTAAAACAGGGCTACAGGGCCCTCTCCCCGCAGGACTGCTGTTAGGTGTAAGTGAGATAGTATTAGTGAAGGGATTACAGGGGAGCTCTGGGTATTTTCGTCCTCTCTCCCACCAGGTCTTGTCTCTGCTGGGGGTGGCCAAGTCCCATTCACCTGAAGAGGAAGTGGAGGCCCAGAGAGGGCCAGAGACTCCCTCAAGGTCACACAGCCAATCACAGCTTGGGCAGGGCTGTGAGGCCCTCTGGGGATGGAACCCAGCCCCTCCTGTCCACCCTTCCCTGTCCAGGGCCCAGCCCGTCAACTGCCTCTGGGCCTTCTCTCCTCTCCCGGGCTGGGGATGGGGCTGTGTTCCCTATTTAGACTTAAGTAGACCAGGCCAGGGGGAGGAAGTGACCAGCAGGGTAGGCTCCGTTTGGCCCGGACAGCAGGCGGGGCACTCTGGTGCCTAACATCCACCCTCTCAGCGGGGCCCTCACCCGGGCCTGCCCCCCCACCCCAATTTGGGAGCTAAGGAAACTGAGTCCAGCAGAGGGGAAGTGGCTGGCCCGGGGCCCACGAGCAGCGGCTGGGAGTCCTGGCTTGTGGCCCGGCATCTGCAGGGCCCGTTGGAGGCCACCCCCGCCTTCCCCGGGACAGAGTTTGAGCAAGGCCCGGCCAGGCCCTTCCTGCCCATTTCAGTTTCCACAGTTTCACTTTCGTTGGTTTCGACACCTGGAAGGCGGTTCCCACTTCTCCCCACAGTGGCTGCTGCCAGGCAGCCCTTCATCAGGGGCCCCGGCCGGTCCTCTCTGCCCCCAGGGACCCAGTGGAGACCCCACCCCCTCAGCACACAGACACCGCAGGCAGGGAGGAGGAGGGCTCCAGCTGCCTTGGGGACAGGCCCCACCTCAGGCCTAGACAGACAAGGGCTCGTGGCCAGGGCTGTGGTAGTCAGGAGGCCGGCTGCTGGAGGCAGCCCTTGGCCTGGGGCCCCGAGGGTGAGTAGGATCCAGGGCGAGGGCAGGTCACAGGGACAGCAGGAGCAGAGGCCAGGTGTGAGAAGAGCCACTGTCTCCAGGAGCCACCAGGGGTGGGGGACGGAGGTCTCGGACAGGGCAGAGCCAGCTGGCAAAGAGCTGGAAATTGGGCCGTAGGTCAGGCTGTCGGCTCAGGCGGGCCAGGCTCCACTCCCACTTACTTCCGGTGTGACCTCAGCACCCATTCCAGCCCTCCTGGGCCTCAGTTTCCCCATCTGTCAGATGGGGGTGGTAGCAGTACCTTCCAGGATTCTGAGAGCTACGGAATGCCTACCTGGTAGGGAACTGTCTGTGGCCTGCCCCCGCCTGAGCGCCCACCCCGTGCCCGCCCCACAGGACCATGGGCTCCATGTTCCGGAGTGAGGAGGTGGCGCTGGTCCAGCTCTTCCTGCCCACAGCTGCTGCCTACACCTGCGTGAGCCAGCTCGGCGAGCTGGGCCTCGTGGAGTTCAGAGACGTGAGTGGGGCCGGGACGGGC